GAAGGCTTTATTCCCTGCTAACTCACCATGAAGGACTCTGGGGCTCATCTTTCCTCTGCCAGCATTCTCACCCCCAGGCCCCAATTCTCTCCTCACTTTTTCCCCTTGCTCACCACCACTCCCTCCTCTCTTTGCTTAGAATTTGAATAATCACTTTCCCATTCTAAGCACTGAATGGTCAACTTAGGCTGTCAGAATCAGATGTCTGTGATCCTGTTCTCAAAACTATGTCCAAGTTTGTTCCTAAAATGAACCTCTCTTTGCTTTCAGCAGTGAGCAGGGGAGAGAAGCAGGAGGGTCTCATCCAAGTCCATCCCCAGCTTCTTGACCTGGGTTACTTCAGAGAGTTGACCAGTCAGCTCCTGTTTCTCTACTTTTTCCTGCCTAAATGATTTAAGTCTTCTTGAGTAGACAGAGTAATTTGACGGGGTAGTTAGTGTCTCAGGGCTATGGCTTCCGATGCTCTCACTGGCCTAGCCGAAACTTTTACTCTTTTGTAAAATATCTGGGATGACTATTACTGCAGAATAAAATGCAAACTCTTCAAGTGTCTCCTAAGGCCTTTCATAATCCATTCATTTGCCTCTTCAGCCTCATCCCTCACCACTCAATTCCAATTTCAAGTCAAATCTAACACCAGGCATATTGAGACCTTCAGAAAGCCACTTTGCCTATCTCCCACAGGTAAAATGAGATTACTGCCTGGAACCATTCTTCTTAAGATGTGTTCATATTCAATACCCCACCAAGACACCCTCCTACCCCTTTGGGTTCTTGTCCTCTACTGGGAAATACTAGGTTTCCCTAGAACTGGCCTGCCATGTACTTAAACAAAAAAACCCCAACAATAACCACCTTTATTGATATAATTCACATGCCACAAAATTCACCCTTTCAGAGTGATTGTAATTCAGTGGTTTTTGTTGTGCATTTGTCATTACTTTCTAAGTCCAGAATATTTTCATCACCTCAAAAAGACCCATTAACAGTCACTCCCCACTTTTTCTGGCAACCGTTAATCTGTATTCAATCTCTATGCATTTGCCTATTCTGGACATTTCATATAAATAGAATCAGGCAACGCGTGGCCTTTTGTGTCTGGTTTTGCCATGTACTCTTAATGGATCCTCACAACAATCTTGAGATAGAAATCTCCCCCTACCTTGTGTCTCTGGCTTCAGTTTCCTTTATCTAGCAGCAGCCATTCATTCAAAGAAATTGACAATCTCCAAAACTCCTCACTATGTTGGTACCCACCTCCTCACTATGTTGGTACCCACCTCCTCACTATGTTGGTACCTGCATGATAGGAATAAAGAAGTGTGGGATGGGATAGGTTAGCATGCTTCAGTTTCCTTTATCTAGCAGCAGCCATTCATTCAAAGAAATTGACAATCTCCAAAACTGTTAAGAGACCCACCTCCTCACTATGTTGGTACCTGCATGATAGGAATAAAGAAGTGTGGGATGGGATAGGTTAGCACGAATTTGGCAAATTCTCTGGCCTGACCACCCTGGCACAGTGTATGGTAAACAACAAAACCAACACAAGGCAGATTTATACTTAAAAGTATTGTTTTTATTTAACTTTAATTTCTGAGGTAAAATACTTTTTTCTTTCGACTTCCATAACAAAATACAGAGCTATCAGATACCCCTGGAAAAAAATATGTATATTATACATATATTTCTATAACATTACATCATATATATAATATATATGCAAAAATTTGAAGACTTTATAGAAAGCAGAACATCTAAAAGGCACTGCACAATGGAGTTAAGATTACTTACATTTTATATACATATACACACTTTAATCTGTGTAAGCAGATAACCTAGTGAAGTCATTTCACATGTGAATGTCTTATTCACAAATCCCTGCATCACAATTTTATAATTCAAAAAATGCCTCAATATTTCAACACAAATTAACTGGTAACTTTTTTTTTTCCCTCAAGAAGAAACTAAAAATGGAACAGTTCTTGAAAGATTGAGTCAAAGTTTTCTTTTAAACAAAATAAAAATGTATGTTCTGTTTACAAAACAAAAAGCACAAACATAATTATGGAATAAATAAAAAACAAGGGACAAACAGCCAACTGACTCTATCTACTTGGTGAGAAGTGATATAATTAAAACTATGTCTCTAATGCTTCTGGAAGTTTCTCGGCCCACAGAGGACTAGGGTGCAATAATCATTAAATTGAGTTTAATGCAGTGCAGCTTGAAAATTAGGGTGAAGGAACTTGGTGAATTGTTTATATTTCACTCCTACCCATTCTTCAGGAAAAAAAGGTGAGCTTAGCAAGCCTGGATGCCCTTAAAGAGGCTGTTTTCTTTTCTAGAGCTAAAAAAGCAAACTGTTTACATGAACCAGTTCTTGATTAATGAAATTTCAATAGATTTATATTTGCAAAGTTTTAAACATTTGGCAGAGCAAAATTTGGAAAAAATGGGGCAGAAAAAATAGGTCTGGTTTTTGTGCCCCTTTTTTCCACTGGCTGTTCAACAGTGATGAGATGCTCACAGAAGAGAAAGTCCTGGCTTTGTACTGGGCTGTTGATGGGTGCTGCCAGGAGCGGGCTGGGGGAAGAAAAACTATCTCCCACACCTTTGACCTAGGAAATATCAATGACCTTCACATTCCCTGGCCCACTTCCTGAGCAAGCCCAAGTTCGGCTCTGTATAAGGACCCTCCCCCAACCCCAGTGTGCAGTGCAAATCAACCAACAATTTACTGGTGGAATGGCAATCAAAGGAAACAGTTAAACACTAAACACTTAACTAAAGTTAAACTAACTTTAATTTCTTAAAGCCAAAAAACATTTTCCACGGAGTTGAACATTTTTAGAGTGTTTTTTTCAAGTGTACAAGCAGTGACTTTTTGTTCAAACAAAAGCAGCATCTAGGAATTAATTCTGGCACTTGGGTTCTAGGGGGTTACAGGTATGCATCATGGATTTTTCTCCCTCTTATTTTAAAGGCCTCATGTTTCTATTCCTGAGTTCATACTGACATCTGCTGGCCCTCCCCTCTAGTGGACAGTGGGTGGTCAGCCAGCCTCCCTGGTTAGATTGGACAATGCCAAGCAGAGATCCTTCCTTCACCTGCTGGGCTTGCTTTCTGATTTAGAGGTAAGTTGAGGTGCAGAGAAAGAAACTGACAAAAACACAACCACCAAAGGCAGCCTGACCAAAGCCTGAGTTGCTAGGGACCACTCTCCCTCCCAGTACCTTTCCCGGGAAAAGATAAGTCACTCATGGAATTTGAATCAAACAAGGAGGAGGACCCTTGCCAAGTAATAACATGATGGACTCAAGTCATCCCAGGCCATTTAACGTCTCCCTTACCTGCTCTAACCTTTCCTGAGCATGTACTCCAGTTTAAAATAGAAAAAAACACCCCCCACCATTAAAAGATGACCCTTGAATGTTACTTTGTACAGAGTTCACTTAGGCTAAGGAGACGTCAGGAATTTCTCCAATTCCTAGACAACATCCCTGTGCCATCCTTTTCCCTCATCAGATATGGATTTATTTCTTCTCTTCCTATTGCTCTGCTGCCTGGTGGATCTGAGCCACAATTAGGTATTTACATACACTATGTAGGTACACGTGTACACACACAGAAGGGTGGCTGCTGTTTCTTTCTCTCTGCCCCTAGTCCAGGCCCCTTTGCTTCACATAAGATCAGTACTTTTCAATTCCTTCAAATTTGTTGGAAGGGAATTTCCCATGAAGAAACCATTCCTCACTGTAAACTCTCATGTGGCAGAGTCAATTTATCTTGAGAATTAGGAAAATCTGGGCAGATGGGTATGGCAAGAATGGCACCACTACAACAGGACAGACACCAACTCTTTCATTCACACCAGGCCTTTTGGCATCTGGTTGCTTTCTGTGTCTTTTTCCCACCTCTTCCTTCAGTCTCAACAAACATCCACTTGTACCCCTAGCTACCTTCTGCATTTCCAGGTATCATCTGCCCTTAACTCCCACAGCCTGCCTTTCTGCTACCCATTCCAATAAATCAAGAGGGAATGACTATCAGCTAGGAATTTAACCATATCTCAACATTCCTGGATTATCTGAAAAGTTGTCCATGCCCTTCTACAGGTTTATGTTGATAGACCCGTATCATCTTAAAGTATGTTTATAGTTAAGGCTTGCCTTAAGAAAATGATAAGAGAACCAGACATAATAGAAAGACATCTTCAACAAGGTTGTCATGCCTCTTAATAAATTTGCTTACAGTCACACTTTGGTTTGGCTTCCCAAACCCATAATGGAAAAGGAAAAATGACGATCTTTTTTGTTTGTTTGTTTTGTTTTTAAAGGCATTGGGTTACTTCCTCCTGCCCTCTTCTTTCTTCCCTGAACAAGAGTTTACAACTCCTCATGGCTTCTTAATAGGTGAAGTAGGTGAAAAGTCCAAGAAACTCACAGCAGGGCTTCCTGTCTCAACCATGTAGCTGAGTGGTGGCTGGCTCCTGTGCCTTCCCAGCCCCACTCTAACTGGCAGTATGTTCATGTTTCCTGAAAACATTTTTTTAAAAAGGAAAAGAAATGCCAAACAACAACCAAAAAGGAAGTAAAAAGGAAAAAGGAAAAAGAGCAACATCTGAACATCCCCCAGCCCCAGTAAGACTGAAATTATCTTATTCCTCCCCTGAAATAATTATAAAGAAACATTTCAGGCAAAATACTTAGTATTAATGGTCTCTCACTATTCAGCCTCCCAAACACGGCCCTTTCCCTTTTATGTATATCTCTCAGAACAAAAGAAACTCGCTAATGGCTTTCCATATATAAATATAACAGAAAAGAAAGAAGTCTGGAACCTGAACTATCATGGGACCAAAAAGTATCATGGTCCTTTAGGAGTTTCCTTGTCAGAAAGTGTTAAGCCTCAACAGGAAATAGAGGATCCTTCTCCTTTTAGTTTAATACCTTCCCTGTGTCCTACTCACCAGGAAAAAAAGTGTGTTCATATCCCACCTAATTTACAACAGAAGATACCCCATCCCATCCCCCAAACATAAAAATACAAGTCTATGCCCCTTGAATGATCAAACCAGTCTAACTACCCCCCTCCCGCCCCCCCCAATCTTGCTACATAAATACATGTATGTATTTGATTATAGTATAAACAGCTCCCAATCCACTTCCAGTTCTAAGCATCAGCAGCTGCTGTTGCCAAGCCCCGGGGTCCTGACCCATTCCAAAGGAATTTGCCATTCTTACTCAGCTCTCGGGCTTTAGGGTCATCATTCCAGCGCCGCTTCAACCGAAGCTTGGGGGGCATCAGGGCATCTTCTTTCTTCTCAGGTGCACTGGGCTCTTTGCCAGGCCTGTCCTCACTATCTTCAGTCACCTCTAGGGGTTCTTCATTAGGGGTGCTAATGGGTACAGAGGGCCAGACAGATGGTGGAGTGGGGCGGGCAAAGATGGTGCCTTTTGTCTTTTCCTCTTCTATGGTCCTGCTTGGCACAGTGCCCTCTTCTTGAGAGTGCTCCTCCTTTTCTTGTGCAGAATGACTGAGGCTCTCAGGATCCTTTTCAGAGGCAGGCTCTACCTTAATTCTCGGGGGCAAAGGAGCCATGTTGGATGCAGTCATAGGCGCTGATTCCTCGCTGCTCTCGACTCTCTCCCGGTTCTTCCGCCCAACTGGCGGGGGCTGCAGCTTGATAGAAAACTGAGCTGATTCCTCAGGATGCATTTGGCACTGTAGTGGTGGAACCATGAGCCCTGGGTAACGCGGAAAAGTCCGGGGACTAAGATGGTAGTTGAACACAGAACAGGCTTGAGAATGAAGGTAGTGTTTCATTTCCTCAGGGTTGAAGGAGAAGCAACTGTTGCTGGTGAAGGGGCTCAGGCCTGGTGATGGGCTATAGGAGAAGATGGTGGGAGTTAGGGAAAGGGCTGGTGAAATAGGGACATTAAGTACACCTCCACGGCCAGGGACTGGAGAGACAGCAAAGGGACTGTGGGGGTCAGGATACATCCCTGGTCTAGTGAACAGAGGAAGCATTATGTCAGGCTTGCGTTTCTGATGGCCAATCCCTCCTCCACCGACAGCATTCCGGGAGGACATGAGATCCACACCCCGGCGCCAATCAGTGGCGGAGCCATCCTCCAGCTCCGAAAGCTCTGCCTTTCTATCGGTGCCATTAGTTGACTCTTGGCCAGAAGCACTTAGGGAGCTAGCAGAGAACCGCCCTGCCTGCACATCACTAGTTGGAGAATGGGTGTCCAGAGGTGGGAAATGGAATCGGGAAGAGGCTGTTGGCACTGGTGGTGCACTCTGAGGAACAACACCTGTGATGGTGAAAGAGACAAAAGGCTGCATTAGAGGTCTGGTCATTCACTACCATTACATTTACTTATGCTAACTAAGCACAAAATGTTTAGTAGCAACAGGAAAAAGACATTCCAACTGGACTAAATCTCCATCTTCCCATTAACTATTGCTCAGCTTCTTAATTTAGTTGCCATCTTTCTCTACCCTCTCACTCACTTTATTGTCTTCACGGTACTCCTTACTATCTGAAGTATCATTTACTTGTTCATCTATATTCTAAACCATAAATTCCATGAGGCAGGGACTTCCTATTGTTCACAGCGGTATTCCCCGCAGTTCAGGGCTTAACAATTAGTAGGTGCTCAATAAATATTAGTTGAATGAATGAATGGGTACAAGAGCCTTCTCCTCTACAACTCTAAATATCGTGTATATATCACCTGTCTCAATCTTCAGCTTTGCAAATAGTTTTTTCTTATTTTCATAATTTTGGCCATATACATAAAGCAAGAAAACCAAACCAAAAAACAAACAAAACTGGAAATAACATGTATGTAAAGCAATGCATTAAAAACCCAAAGACCCTGCACCTCACATATATGGACATGAAGAAGACCATATTTTAATGAAGACAGATTAATAAAAAACGCTATATGATTGTTAAGGTAAATTCGTGTGGGATATCTTTTATTATTTGATATATAATTACTACTTCACAGAGATTCAAATATTTTTCGGTCTCTCCAAATCCATAGTCCTATAACGAATTCTATATAATGATCTCCATTCCCATCCTGCTTTCAAGCATTTAGGAAGCATTGAGAAAGCTGGGAAAAAATCAAGCATTGAGGAAGATGGGAAAAAATACAGGATCTACTATTCCCTCTCTCAAGTTTGCTTGCTAAAATTTGGAGCTCTGAGTGGAAACTAACACTGTGCTAACAAAGTCAACTTCAGAGGCTCACGAATTCTAATTTCCCACAAAGGTCCTTCTGATAAATAAGGCATGTGAAAGGTATGCCATCTGAGGCCTCAGGGACCCTGCAGGTTCCTGGGAGGTGTCAGTGGCTTGTATCATGATGTCAGGAGGGCTCTCTGACTCTGAGGCAGAGATAAGGGAGAAGGAAAAAAGGGAGAAGAAAACACATGAAAAATCAAAATAAATCAAAGTATGGTGATCTAGGAGAGGAAACAAAAAAGGTGCATAGGATACAGCGTGGTCAGGAATTACTCTTAATCAGGTGCCGCCTTCTACTCTTGGTATAATAGTCATACTCCGCTATGACACTGGAGTTGGCTGGTATGTGCAAGACTGTAGCTTTCTAGGTACATGTGACTGAGTAACATTGTGCCAGAACAGCATTTCTTTAACTGATGTTCCACAGAAAACTGTTTTGCAGAACTCTGCCATAAGTATCTCTCCTGCCAGCTTATTAAAGGGGCTAAAATTCTACCCTTTTTGTTTCTTTTAAATTCTGACTTTTTAAGTGCCCATCTATTCAAAAGCAAAAAACCACTTCTGTGTGTTCTGAAAGATGGAATAAGTATAATGTGGATGTGGAAGGGAAGGTCCTGTCTCCTAAGCAATTCAGAAATGCGTGGTTAAATTGTTATTATTTTTTTTTTTTAAAATCTGGAGGATATCCATCTTTACACATGCTAATGTAGACTGTAAATCTCCAAGGAGACATAATGCATACCGTTTTCCAAATGTATTTAGGCGGAGCAAATGAAGGTGAGAGTAGGAGCAATGTTGGGAAGGTAGCGTTCCGGCCCCCTTACCTCTGATTAAATGGAGTAGCCCTACTTTTATATGCTAAGTATGTTGAGATATCAAATCTAAGATTTTGTTTGAGAAAAACTTTGCTGATAAAATATGTCTGAAAACCATGCTTTGGAAGAAGACCACCTCCATGGAGCCATCATGAAATTCATGATGGAAAATAGTAGGGTTGGAACATTTTGGTCAGAATCTTAGTTCTGGCACCTGCTATCTTGTAGCTTAGTGCAAGTAACAAAGTGTGAAGTCTTAGATCCCCTCTGGCAAAATGGAAATAATAAGGTCTTTGCCTAGGTTCAAACCTTGGTCCTATTACTTATTAGTTGTGTGCCACTGATCAACTTACCTGTCTGCCTCAGTTTGCTTACCTGTAAAATAGGTAATAACAGGACCGATCCTAATGTTATGAGGATTAAAAAAGTTAATATTTGTAAAGTCCTAAGAATAGTACCAGTGCATAACAAACTGCACGCTGTTAAATAATTTTTAAATTAGATAATCATTGTTCAAAAATCAAAACGTAAAGGCATATATCATTCAAATATGGACCATATATTACAGAATAATATTGGACCATATATTACATAATAGTATTAGAGCAATGTTAAACTTCCTGGGTGTAGTAATGCTATTGTGGTTATGGAAGAGAATGCCCTTGTTCCTGGGTGATACATGTTGAAGTACAAAGAAATGTCATGATGTCTGCAACTTAATTTCAAAGATTTAAAAAGTATATATAAACAGAAAAAGATAAAGTCAATATGGAAATAATGTTAACCTCAGTGAATCTTGACAAAAGATACAGGGTGTTTGCTGTTTATTACTGTAGACTTGAAGTTTTCCCAAATAAACATAAAAAACTGAGTATGGAGGCTGAGAGGTCTCAATTCCATCCTTGAACTAGTCCATCCTCCTCCTACCTTCTGACGGGATAACTGTCTTTACTATTATCTTCTGTATCTTTCCAATATTTCTTATGCAAATACAAGTAAATATTAAAATATATTAATGTATTTTATAGGATGCTTTTAATGATAAAAATGAGATACTGTATGTAGAAGTACTTTCATCACTATCCACATGTTGATCACTCTACCCTAAACTGTTAACAGCAAGCAGTATTGTGGGGAAGGGAAAAGAGAATATTTACCTTTTTACTCTACCGACTTCTGTATTATTTGGTTATGTTACAAACAGCCTTTATTTTTAAAAACACACAGACCAAAATAGCGCAACTTATCCACCTACCTTGTACACACATCTTTGGCCTCCAAGATCTAAATCCACACAGCTGTACTTTCACATTTTTCACATACATTCCACATTGTATTAATCCTAGTATATCTTATCTCTCTTGCTAAACTTTAAATTCCTTGAAGGAAAGAATTCCCCCACAATCTTTTTTTTGTCTTTAGGGCTTAACACGTTATCTGTTCAACAAATGAATCCCAAGTTAAGAGAGGAATGTATGATCTATTAAATAAGAACTAGATTTCAACAGTTCAATCTTTCAGGAATTGTATCCTGAGAAACTTTTCGACAGATAACTATTCGGCCTACCCTGCTCAGTCTTTGACTTTGCTGTCCTCATCCTTAATTTTATCATTTTTAAAATGTGGATAACAGACATACACTTCCCTGGGCTGAAAGGGTTGAATGAGATAATTTACAAAACCTCTAAGCAAAAATACCTCCATTAAGCACATGTTCGATAAATGTCACGCTCCGTTGTCATCATCAAGTCAACTTTTAACAACATTTGGCCTATCAGGGTTTCTATAAACTAATGACTCTAGTTCTTTGGAGTTATCTGTACTTAGGATGTGAGCAACCAAGTAGTATGCCTAAAAGAAATGTACACTGTTTTGCTTTACCTGTGACTTTTTGACTAGGATCTTGAACTTGCTTAAGGGCCAATGTTGGTTCAATTGCCTACAGGCAGAACGGATGTGCTAGGCCACTATTGTTAGAAAGTTTTCAGAGAGTTTAGATTTCCCTGCCCTGGAGAACCACATTACTCCCAAGAGCTGATGGATGCCCCACTCCAGGTTGTCCAAGTAGCTAGACTTCTGGGTTTCCAATTGACAAAAATGGATCAAAGACAGAACAAGACCAGTGAAGCATTTTGGGGGGGTAGGGTAGAGGAGCATAAACACTGATACATTCTTCAAAATTGCAGGTACATTTATCTACACTTCTAGTTCCTTTAGGCACACAGGGAAGGAGCAAGAGTGAGAAATAGAGGAAACAAAATTCTAGTGGCTAGAACAGGTCTGATTTCCTAACGCCTCTCCCTCAGGCACAAGGAAAGAAAACAGGTTGTAATTAGAGAGATGCATTCCAATACCACTTTTTTCTTTTTTTTTAAATGCATGCCCCAGGGACAGGAGGGAGTGGTTAGAGAAGGAGAGATGGAACTGTAATGATAGCAGAGTCAAGCTAAAACTGCCCTAACTTGTTGTGTGTAGTAATTACATATCTGCAATAGATCTCAGTATTATATTCTCTCAGCCACACCTCCGCTTTAATTTTTCAGGTTTCTCCCAACTTTTCTCTGAGAAGTTGTATTACTGTAGAATCATGATCAGCTTTTTTTTGCCTTAACGCACAAGGCCACAAGGCCACAAAGAGTACTGACGGACTGGTCAGAAAATAGTTTAATACAGTCTATTTTCTTGGGCAGGGGTATGATTTGCATCTAAAAAAACCCCACCACAAAAAAAACACACATGAACAACAACAACAAAACCTTATAAAGACACGGCCTTCTTCATCAGGAGAGAGGCAGGCATAAAGCCTCTCTGAGCAGCTGCGATGGAAAGCTGTAAACTGAACAGCCTAGAGGGGAAGCCCTGCTGCACTTAAAAGGAGAGAAGGTCAAGTAACCCCATAGTCTTGTTCTCTGAGGAGTTGCTGGTGCAGATCAAAGACACTGCTTTACATTGTAAACATGTGAACCTCCATTCTCTGATCAAGGATGCTGTGGTTTTGATGATATTTACTTGATAAGGGAGAGCTTGGTAGTTTCAAAGAAAATCGGAAGTGTTTGTAGAAACAGGTTCCTGTCTATAAAAGAGTCACTGGGCAGGGTGTTAAAACTGAGTCCTGAATTTAAAGATCAACACTAAGCTATGGAACATCATTCTCAAACAGGATAGTGTAATATCTAGGAGATTACAAATAATATACAGAAAAAGAAACCGAACAAATCTATCTTGATACTATGTAGCTTATCACTCCCTTTATGAGCAAGAACACTGAGGCAATCCAAGGGATCACATTACTTTAATGTTTCTAAAATCCCTTTAAATATGTCATATCTTAGACTTGGGTTTTTAAAATTCCTTTCCAACTCAAGATTAATTCCCCATCAAGAGAGTCTGCATCTTACCACTTGACCGAATGTTGATGAATGGGTAGTTGGGCATCACCAGCTTGTTGAAGTTAAATTTATAAGTAAATCTTTTCCCTTTTGTTTTATGAAGGATCCTCTTGTTGTAATAGTATCTGTAAAAACAGAGATGCATGCCAATTTATCTTTTAGCTTTTGATACACTTCTGTAATCACTAAGAGCAACAATTCTTGCTCTAAGTATTACTTACAAACATCACTATCATTCTTTTGTAGCCTGGCACTCAGGTTAGGGCTGGGAGACCTAAGAACTCACTTTTTTTCATTCAATTTGCAACTAAACTCTAGTATTAGGCTAGAGCTTCACAAAGACAACCTTGCTTTAAGATCCTGAACACTTATCCTAGTCCCAATCACCTTTCTTCTCCATCTCTCTACAACATTAATTTTACATTCTGTTTCCTTCCTGTTCTACTATGAGTTACTAACTGCGTAGTCTCTCTTTTCTGTCTTGCCCAGCTGGGGGCAGACAAGTCTCTTGGCAGACCTGATGTGGTTAGTCTGGAGGCACAGACAAAGGAATGCAGAACTGTTTTATGGTGGCAGGTCCAACAATGGCATACCCTAATCTGAAAAATAGCCAACTTGGCCTGCTTCACCTTCAAAGACTCAAAGGGATGTGAAAAGTTCCAGCAAAGTCACTGGACAGATTTTATATTCAGGATCACTAAGAATGAAGAAAGGTAGGGGAACTTCAAAGTACCTGGAACCTTTAGCCTTGCATCTGTTCAGTGGCACAAGTTATAAACTGCTTTCTGGCCCCTTGAGGGCTAAAGGGTAATGAAATTTAAAGACTTACAAAGGGAAAAGAGGACCTGAGGAAATTTATAGTGATCAATTTTTAGACATATCCTATGGACTGACAACTGAGCTCACAGATATAGCTCCTAATAGCTAGGTGAGTACTATTCAGGGAGCCTTCCTCCTGGGTTTGCTTTACCCTTTTCTAGTTTTCTTTTCAGGAAAGCTCAACAAAGAGAAATTCTAATTGAGTCCCAATAGTGAAGTCTAAACTAATCCTTTAGATTATAAATGAGCTCCAACCCATGTTTCACCATACACTCTCGCCCACTACAAAGCAGAATCAGCTGTCTTGTCAGGATCCAGTGCCAGCCACACTGGAATTCCCTCCTACATATAACGAAAGATATGCCTTTTCTCCTGTGCCTGTGCTACTAAGATTCAATACCTTTTCTACTCCTGCTTTAAAGCTACACATTATTCACTGATAGTGTAGTCTCTTATCACCTGATACCCTTCTTATCTAACATTCACCAAACTGCTTAGTCTCCCTCCAATCTGTCAACACCAGTGATTTGGGAATACTTTCCCTTACCTGAGGGCTCGGCTCAGCTTGTCATAATTCATCTGTGGTTTGCATTTCCTGCGGCCCCAGAGGCGGGCCACCTCATCTGGATCCTTGATGACAAACTCTCCGTACTCTCCCTGCTGCCAGGCGATGACATGGCGGAACTCTTCCTTCTGCAGCAACTCCAGGATGAAGTGCCACAGCTGGATCTGCCGGGAGCCTGGGGATGACTCTGTTTTGTAGGCCCAGTCAGGAAACTGATATCCTTTAATGTGAAAAGGGCAAGATGAAGGTAGTCAGGAGCTAGGTACATATGCAGCAGCACCCCCAACTTCACATTCCACTGCTCAGAATCTCTAGAGTGCTTTGCAAACATGCCATAAACACCCCTTCAGTCAGCTGGGGCTAACCACAACAGAGGAGAGGAAAGCACAGAGAAATTACTTATTCTTGTGGCAATCATTAAATCTGATAAAACTGGGCAGCAGCACACTGTCCTAATCTCTTACCCTTTCATACATTACTAAATCTCACACCTACTTTTTATGAGGGCATGAAAGTTCCAAAGGGAACAAACCAGAAAGATAAATTAATGTTTTAGGAAACAGAACAGAAAACTCCTTACCCCCAAGGTTGGAATTGTTGTCTCTAATAAGAAAGAGACTCTAAAGCTTGGGATAAGGGTGTGGTGATCAGACATGTTGAATATACATTCATAGGAAACAAGCTTACAACTGTCCTAGAAGTATCCACCCAGTCAAGAGGCTGTCAGTCATGGTCTGGTATTTGTGAACTGAGCCCAAGTGGAGAGAACAGGAACCACTGAGGGACATTCCAGGTACATCAGAGATAATTAACTTCTGCTCACCTCCTCCTCCTTCTGGCTTTTCCACGATGCTACAGCCTGCTTTCATTTTCGCACTCCTGCTGAGAGACACAAGCCACACAATTACTTTAAGACGCTACTTATTTTCCTCCCAAGATTTCCTGGCACAGCCTTTTCCTAAACTTCCTTTTCCCTGTTTTTCCTTCCTTATGCAATTCTCTTTCTTTCAAACATGTCACCTCCAATTGCTAATCCCCAATTCATCAAATGATGGTCCTCAGGTCATCAGCTTCAAAAGCCATAATTATCTCTCACCTGACTTTAAACCACAAAGTGTAAACACTGTCCTTAATATTTGCTTTCTTCCTCCTGACCAACCCTTCAAATGTAAAAAAAAAAAAAAAAAAGTAAGGGTACAGTGAAACGGATCCAAAAAGGCAGCCAAAACAAGTCAAACAGTTTGTCTTCTATTACTAGACAGGCCCAGATGCCAAGATACACAAGACTGAGTTCACCCAGATGTACCAGTTTAAGGAAGGGTGAAAAAATCCAAGTCCATCTGATTCCAACACACAAATGAACATCTGATTTTGATTTATTTTACTGAATTATGTGAGATGGGAGAAGGAAAACTCCTCCCAGTTAGAAACTGCCTTCTCCCCCTTGAAAAATACTCTTGGATACAGGAAGCAAACACATCATAGGTACAGTCACTCTATACAAGAAACACACACACACTGCCAAAGTTTTTCTGAGAAAAAATTTACATTTTCTCCCATTAACAGGAAGGCAAAAAAAGAAAAGCAGGCATTTCTGAGGACATTCTGGTCAATGAGTGGAAGGAGTCTTGCTATGATCTGGTCATTCCATCCAAATTTACAGCTCCTCAATAAATTTCCAGTTCTTAGCAGCAAGTAGCTTTGTGTCTGTTAATCCTTTAGCAAAAAGGAGGACAGGGTGAAACTGCCAGAGGGAGATGGGGGCAGGAGAGGGCAGATGTCCCCTCACTGTTCTCCAGGGCCTATGATAAGCCCTCAGCACCCACATTAGCAGGAATCTGGAGGGAAGGTAGGTGCCTCAGTGGCCCCAGGGTAGGGTGGAGATAAATTCCGAACCTTGGAAATTTTGTCTAACCTAGGATTCCTTAACAACCTTAAATTTTTTTTCTCACCATACACAATAAGGAGACCAGCAAGTTTCAGTCTATAAAACTACCAGGGGCTGAGGACGATATAAATATCCCAAAGGAAAGAAAACAAACAGACACAGATAAACATGAGATACACAATAGCAAGGCACCAGGGCTGAGGCAGGAGCTTCCTCTCCCATCTCCGTGACAATGGGGGAGGAAAAACTAATTTCCCCACCGTTCCAGGAAACTGCCCTGGTCTCTAACTCCTAGATTACTCTGCCGGATCGTGGGGGCCTTTAACCCGCCACAAGAATGCCCTTCAACCATTACGACTATGGGGCCCAAACCTTGTTGCAACGATGACCTGACCAAGAAGCCCTCTCGACGTCCCTGCTCCCCGATTTTCCCCATAAAGACCCCGCTCCCAGGAGCCCGGAGGCGCCTCTGCATGTTTTTTACAAATTCGCAATGAGAACACAATGTCCAAGTAGGGCCATTCGTCTGAACTCTGCAACCCCCAGCCCCCCTGCCCTTGCTCAAATCGGGACCATTCCCCGAAGAGTGAAGCAACACAGTCTGGCACTGCAAATCTCTTGCAGCAGCTCCCGGTCCCGGCTTCCACAGCCCTCAGAGTCTCCTTTTCACTGATGTCCCGGCCGGGCCTCCCTTGCTCGGTGGCGTCGGGGCTCGGCGCAGCCACCGCACGAACGCTGCCCTGGGTCCCTGTCGTTCCTCAGACACGGGGCCCCCTTCCTCCCCCGCCCTCCGCGCTGGACTGGTACGCAGCCCGGTGAGCGGCCCCGACCCCAGGATGCCGTCTCCTCCCGGGTCCGGGGGGGCCAGCCAGGAGAGGGCCGGCGGCACCGGCGAGGCCCGGACTCACCTCTCCCCGGCACGGTCCGTCTTCGGTCCGGTCTCCTCCGCGGCGTCTCCGGCTCCTCCTCATCCACCCCAGCAGGAAGTGACCTCCTCGGCTGCTTTCGTCACTTCCATCCCCAGCAGAGAGGGCGGGGGAGGAGGCGGCACCCTCCCGCCAGCTCCCAGCCTCGCCTCACCGCACCCAGCCGCGTCTCCCTTTCCTTTCTTTTTTCCGCAGACGCCGACTTCCGCCCGCACTCCGCCCCGGCAGTGCGCGTACGTCACGCTGCGTGGGCACGTTACGCACGCTCGCGGCGGGTGGCCCGGCGTGGCCGCAGGGTCGAGGTCCTTATGACTGGCGGGGTGACGCGGCGCCAGGAGGCGCCGGGCGGCCGTGGAGTTGTGCTTCGGCCCCGTACTGCGAGTCGAGGCGCTGCGCCCGGGTCCCACTTGCCGCGAAAGGGGATCTCACAGACCCCGGAGGAAGGGCCCAGGCACCGGGATAAAGCCCCCCCCCCAGGCCGCTGGGAGGAGGCCCCGTTTCTCAAAAAAGGGCCCTGCGGCCTCCCAGGGAGGAGACAGCCCTCACAATGGGAAGAGAGGGGGCTGCAGAATTCAGACGCAGCTCTCTACCCTGTAAGAAGGGACCCTTGCGTAGACGTGTAAAAGAAGCCGCGAAGCTTTCTCTGAAGCACCTTGCTTTGGCATTTCTTCCCTGTAAAGACCAGGGAGTATGACCGCTTCTCTGCTTGTTCCCATCCCTCTGCATTTTGTCTTAATTTGTCCCGATCTAAGCAGTTTGTAAGTCTTCTACCTAAGTCATTTAAACACATCTCCCCTTTCTTTTTCCTTTACCTTTTGTTTCTGCTCTAGCAATTACCACTATTTTGTCCAAAGCATTTTTTTTCTTCCTTTAAGGCCCAATGATTAAGGATCTCAAGCAGTTCAACTTTATCTCCATCCTCTACTCCCGTAAATTTGAGTGGTGTCCAGGCCTAGTTTCACTGCAGAGGCAGAAGAAAGGGAGGAGTGGGGATCAATACTAGTTAAATGAATTAGAGTAAAGAATAGGTGTTGGGGCGGTGAAGAAGAGAGATGTGGTTGAAGGAAAATGGAAGATCAATTTTGATCAAATGGGTCAGAATGTTGTTTTGTACCATTTCTCTAATAACATCTTTCCATCCTGTGTGTTAAATAGACCGTGGAAATATCACCATTGGTCACCAAAAGTTGGCTCCCAGTTTTGGATGTTCTCCAGCTGTTAGTAAATTAACTACAGTAGTAGGTTGGTACCCTCTGGCCTAAAGTTTCCTTACCTGTTTAAAAAAGAAATGATAATAGTATGGTGACATAAGGTCTTTTCTAGTTAGAAAATCCTAATTTGTAGGTGAAAAAAGTAAGGAGCAACATTTAAGTGCCACGGGATTTCCAGTATCTGCAATTAGTCCATGAGCTCTTTGAATTTATGAACTGTGTATATATATCTTTTGTATCTTCTGCAGGGCACCTAGAATACTGTCTTACATGTAAATAGATGTTTGGCTGAACATTTCTTTAAAATATTGGGTTTAGCTAAATGATGGAAATTGTGTTTACGTCCTTGTGCCTTAAACTAGCTTTGTGACCTTGGTTAAGTTACTTAACCTCTCTGTGTCAGATCCTCGTCTGTATGAACATAATGCTATAGTACCTACATAATACCTATAATATCATGGTTGTATTAGGTGTGTTAATACATGTAGAGTGGTTAGAACAGAGAATGGCACATTGCTAGTATGGCAGATGAATAAAGATTGGCAAAAATAATAATCATAAGAATCATTATTATAAGAATTCTCAAATTCTCTCACCACCCATGCAAATCTTAGTAACTGTGTCAACTCAGAAACTAGGGTGATCGGGAATGAGGAGCTCCTACTAAAAGTCTGAAATTGCTAACCCTGGGCTCATAGCTCAAATGGTCATGATTAGAGCCAGCACTGTCAACTCCAAGGCGCCTGTGTTCTACAAAGGGCTGGGAACCAGAGTATAGGGACTCTTTCTGCATATTTTTACTCACCTCAGACTCTTAGTGGTTCTCTGTGGCTGCTTCTCTGACTGAGGGTGACAAAGGATGACTTGAGTAAACACAATTAACAGAGATAAACAGGTCTCTCTACCTGGCTGGAGTCTGAATTGATATATTGAGAAATGTTTCTATCCCCGCACAACTTAGCAGGGTTTTAACATCAAAAGTCTAAACACTGGCCTGGAACTTAACAGGTGAATTTGGGTTTGATAAAGCAAGCTTGAAATTCTCTAACAATTAATGGGTTCAGATAAATGAGTTGTGCATTGGGAACCTCTCTGTGGTGGTAGAATCTGGGGAGATTGGGATGGCTAGGGACTTCTAGCCCAGAGTACGCAAGGTCCCTTTCCACCGTCTCTTTCACCACACCACTGCTGCCTTCTCCATCTGCTGCAAACAAGCTTTCACAACTTGGAGATTCTTCATGTTCCTGAAATAGGGAGAGCATGAGCTCTCTGAAAGCATGGGGGTGGAAACACTTAAGACACAGCCTAGGAGTGAAGACAGGTTGTAATCTCTCTTGAATTTCTACTTGCTCAAAGCTCTCTTTGTCCACTGACATTGCCCTCCTACCCTCTTTCTACCCAGCTTTATAATTGTTCCATATGTCTAGAATAAGTTTGTTTTAAATCTCTAAATCTCTCACTCTCTATTCTCACCACAGCAAAGCTACTCTACTATTTCTTAAATTAAAAAAGGAGAAAAGAAAGAACTGCTAAAATTTATTTTTCTTCCAAAAAGCCCTTACTGGATTGTGTGTGTGTGTGTGTTTCTTCCCTGGATTGTGTGTGTGTGTGTGTAGGGGTGTGTGTGTTTCTTCCCTGTATTGTGTGTGTGTGTGTGTGTGTTTCTTCCCTGGATTGGGTGTGTGTGTGTGTGTGTTTCTTCCCTGGATTGGGTGTGTGTGTGTATGTGTGTGTGTGTTTCTTCCCTGGATTGGGTGTGTGTGTGTGTGTGTGTTTCTTCCCTGGCTTGTGCTTCTTTATTGCTCCCATTTTCGTTTATGTACTTATATTCTCCACACCCCAAACTTACTATATGATATAAATGCTTTCCTCTCTATTCTTGTAGTAGATTACGCTTCTTATTATGCCATCTGTATGCCACGTACATATTTGTTCTTTTTAGTATGCTTGTCTTGGATTGCAGGTCTTCAGAGGTTAGAGCCACAGGCAGTAGGTCCCCATAGTGCCTAGAGCAGTTTCATTCCATCATTTGAAATGCCTAATGATAATTTCCTTCTCTTCGATCATATGGGCTGATGTTCTGACAAGACTGGCTTCTTTTTCCCTCCCTCAGTCTCCTCTAAGTCTCCCTGAAAAGGCAGGTAGGCTCTTTCTCTCAGTTTGTTTTCTCTGAACTTGAATTCAGAAGACCTGAGTTTCGGTCCCAGTTCTGCGCTTTGCTAACTCTGTTCTCTGACAATCTGCTAACTTCTGAGTTCCAGCCTCCTCATCTCGAAAAGGGGATGCTATTGTTGCCCTTAGTGAGGACAGAGTGTAATAGTAGCTGTGGAGCACATGTAAACTGTGAAACCTTTGCAGAGGCATCTGCTAACTTCTGAGTTCCAGCCTCCTCATCTCGAAAAGGGGATGCTATTGTTGCCCTTAATGAGGACAGAGTGTAATAGTAGCTGTGGAGCACATGTAAACTGTGAAACCTTTGCAGAGGCCAAGGATCATGATTACTCTTGCTACCATACCAGACCTTACATTGTGCCTGGTTTCAAGAATTCAAAATTTACAGTATTTAACACGTAATTTCACAAATTTTGCGTGGATTTAATGTTTCAAACTTGGATAGGAATCTAATGAAAAAAGAATTTTGTCCTGAGAATTAGGGTTCTTGGGTTTCTCATCTAGGCACATTTTATGAGGCCTAGCCTGAGGTGTTACATTTTAATCACCTTGTACCTCAGTTTCCCCATCCATAAAATGACCATGATAAGAATTTCCAGGGAGAAAAATATTATGACATTAGAACATACTTGACATTGATGAAGTCAAAGACTGAAAGACATATATGAAATTGATTTATTTCTGCTCTACGTGACTCAGTTTCCCCTTCAGTAAAATGAAAATAAATTATTGTAAGAGAATAAACTTTGACTAAATATTATTTGCATTTTCCCACGTTGGGCTTGAGTAGCTCATAGGATCTTGTGTTTTGGTTTATTTTTCCCATCAACCCAAAGTTGTTGTGTGGATAGAGGAATTAACATTGGTAATATGATTGGGGATCCCCAGATTAAAGGTTAAATAAGTCCAAAGCAGAAGTAACTTTGCCCAAAGTTACAGCTCAGCCAGAAGGAGCAGACAGCCTGGCTGTTTATTTAGCAGTGGCTTGGGGACTCAAGGACTCTCCCTGATTCCACATCCATCACAGTCCACAAATACCCCTTCCTCTCATTTCCCTTTTTTAGGTCTTAGTTCCCTCCTCTCAAATCAGCACAGTGGAGAGGGTAGTGAGAGATCACGAAGGAGCAGAACGGATGAACGGGATTAACATGAGGAAATGACCACTTAAGCTATTTTGGCTTTTTTTTTTTTTTTTTCCTGGCAGCGCAGGAGAAAGATTCCCCTAACCAAATGCTTGATTGCCAGAACATATATATTTCTGAAAGCTCACTTCTTCCAGGAAGCCTGCTGAAGTTAATTGGTGCAGAGGTCTAGCTTCTCGTGGTCTTAACCTATCTAGGATGTGTTTTCCAAAACTCGGCATTTGTTCCCCACTCTTATAATATCTGAAACCTTGACTGCTTACCACATAGACCTTTCTTGCTTTCTTTTGTACTTATTCACTGTTCATATCCGGCTCTCACTGTATTCTCTTTATGACTGTCTGTATCATTTGTCACCCTAAGAGGGCAGAGACTGTGTCTATCTACTTCTCATTATATAATGGCCAATAAAAAGAATAATCACTGTAATAGCGGCACGGGGATCATAGTCTAACAATGTCAGTAATGATTGTAGTGAACAATGGAGTGAGGCCTCAAATCCAGTTAATTAAAAGACTGTCACCTTAAGAATATTTTAGAAGAGTTTGCTTTAATAATTGCCCATGTATTTATGGATTGTAGAGATGGAAAGAATGTCAGAGGTCATCTCTCCCATACTCTCATCCAATGCTACCAGCTTCTACTTGAATCCTCACAATGATGGGTAGTTCACTATTTTCCTAACACACTAGTGATTG